TTCGCCTTCGGGGTGTTCTCTCTGCACAGGAGCAGTTCCCAGGGCTGATGGTCTCTGGGTGGTGTGGAGGTTGCTGGTCTGTGGTGCTGAAGATCCAGGAGATGGCAGCTGGGCACTGGGGCTGGGGCTGACGGTCTCCAGTGCGGGAGAACTGGGAGACAGCCCTGGTAGCGCCAGGCTGCCTGTGTTGGGGCTGATGGTCTCGGGTTCCCTGGAGCTGTCAGAAGGCTCCAGTCCTGACTGTCTGGCCACGCTGACACCAGCAAGCCCTGAGTCATCCCGGGAGGCTGGGAGGGGAAGCAGGAGGGACAAGATCGTTCCAGACCTGGGACAAGATAGGCCAGAGCAGTGCGGCTCTGCCAAGCCCACCCTGGGCACCCACTGCCAGGCCCAGGGGCACCAGGCCCAGGGGCAACAGGTTTGTTTGCCACTTACATGTGCCCAGACCAGCACAGCCATCACATTCCCAGATGGTTATGCTGGCCCTCAGGCCAGAGCAGGCTCTGTGGGTGCCCTCAGCAGCACAGGAGGAGCACCAGAGCAGTTCCCAGGGCCTGGGGAAGCAAACGGGTTCATGGAGGTGAGGGCAAAGTGTCCAAAGCGTGGGATTATCTGGCTGAGCTCTTCTGGGTCCTTCTGCTTCAAGCCCTGCAGAGCTTGAAGCACTGCCTGCTCTGGGCTGTGTGCAGGGCAGAAGGCCCTGTGGGGAAAAGGGGTGGGTGAGGTGAGAAGTGCTGGGCCCTTCCCTGGTGGTGGTGAGGAGGGGACAGGAGGTACCTGTACGGTGCCATGAACTGGGTGACACAGGCTCCCTGCTTGGCACAAGGCAGGTGGAAACTCAGGTCACAGTGTCTTGCCCAGCAGGGGATGGTGGCCCCGCTCTGGTCACAGATGAAGCACCCCTGGAAAGAGCAGAGCAGCCCCATCAGCAGCAGCCTCAGGGCCTCCTCCTTGTCCCAGAGCTGGTTGGAAGGGTTGGGCTTTCTTGCTTGGGGTCTGGGCTGAGCTCCAGCAAACCTCACCTGGCCCAAATCTCCCTGCTCTTGTCAGGCTCTCACCTTCTGTGCTGCCTGGGAGACTATATCTGGGATCTCCCCTGGGAGAAAGCCAAGGAGTCCTACTCGATCATTCTCTTGCTGATGAAGGAGGCTGGCAAAAACCTGCAGGAAAGATGATGCACTGCTGAGGAGAGAGTGTGGTGGGAACTGCCCATTGGAAAGCTGGAGAGAGCCCACGGAGCAACTCACCAGGCAGAACACGTGGGCACAGAACCCATTTATCTGAAGGTTTTCTCCACAGATGTCTGGGTCAGCCTCTGATGGCTGGCACAGCAGGCATGCTGGAGGGGAGAGAGACCTCCCAGTGGCTCCTGGCAGTGGCTGCATTAACCAGTCCCGTTGGCTGGCGGGACTGGTTTCACCTTCGGGATGTTCTCTGCACAGGAGCAGTTCCCAGGGCCTGGGGAAGCAAACGGGTTCATGGAGGTGAGGACAAAGTGTCCAAAGCATGGGAGCTTTAAAGCTGAGCTCTTCTCCTGGGTCCTTCTGCTTCAAGCCCTGCAGAGCCCCGGGGTGCAGCTTTGGCAACTTACCCCTCCTCCTCTGCCTCCTGCCTGCCTCCTGGACAAAGGCATCGCAGTGCCCGTGTCTGTCTCCTGGCTCAGCGAATGCAGTATTGCTCTCCCATGATGGTGGCCTGAGGAGAAAAGGGAAAACTGATGAGCTCTCTCTGCCCTGGCATCGCGCAGGTGCAGGGTGTCCCTGCCTTCCCCCTGTGCTATTTCCAGCTCCTGCGGGAAGCTGAACCCGGGACTCACGGAACAGGGCAGGGCCAGGACTGCTGGGGCAGGCCCTGGCATGGCACAGCACTTGCACCCCCTGTGTTGTGAGCCAGGCAGAAGGACACCAACCTGAAGGGGATTCGGATCCCCATGGTGAACATATCCCTGAGAAATGTGTCATCATTTCTGCAGAGGGGGCACCAGAGGGATAAAAGACCAGCATGCAGAGCCTGTCCCTGCAGGAGAAACACAAGCAGCCACAGTGAGGCCCTGGTGCTGCTGAGCCCCTGCTGTGCCCCCCGGGGTGACAGAACCACTCCTACTTGGACGCAGTCCCTGTGGAACCAGGCGGTTCTGCAAGCTGGGCACACCAGGGTGTTGAAGGCCATTCTGTCCTCCACAGGCTCCAAGCAGATGAGGCATTCAGTGCCCAGCTCTGGAGTCGCCTCCACTGCCTGCTCTGGGCTGTGTGTGGGGCAGAAGGCCCTGGGGGGAAAAGGGGTGGGTGAGGTGAGAAGTGCTGGGCCCTTCCCTGGTGGTGGTGAGAAGGGGCCAGGAGGTACCTGTACGGTGTAATGAACTGAGTGACACAGCGTCCCTGCTTGGCACAGGGCAGGTGGAAGCTCAGCTCACAGTGTCTTCCACAACAGTAAATGGTGGCCCCGCTCTGGCCACAGATGTAGCAGTTCTGGAAAGAGCAGAGCAGCCCCATCAGCAGCAGCCTCAGGGCCTCCTCCTTGTCCCAGAGCTGGTTGGAAGGGCTGGGCTTTCTTGCTTGCGGTCTGGGCTGAGCTCCAGCAAACCTCGCCTGGCCCAAATCTCCCTGCTCTTGTCAGAGTGTGAGTCCGGTCTCTCTCTGCTGTCTCCTCCTGTTGTCTGGTTGAGGAACACCTAACCAGGCAGGCTGGGTAAACTCAAATTTAGACAGAAGGAGCACAGAAACATGACATTATTTGAAGACAGTCTACCTGCATCTGCAAAAAAAAAAAAAGCTTTCTAAAAGTCCAGATACTTTACAAAATGTATCCCCTCCACATAAAAAATCAGATTTCTACCCATCTGCACTGTAGCAAAAAGGCAAATTTCAAGATAAAAAAATAACAAGGAAATGAACATACTACCACAAGTTATAGCCACTCCTACCTGAGAAAATAACTCATGAACGATTCCTCTGAAGCCACTCAGACAATAACTTTGGAAAGGCATTTTAAAGCTGTTTTGTTAGTCGATTTGCCATTACGACTCAATAAATTTTTCAAACCCTTATAGTTCTCTTTTTCAGTCTTAGAGAGGGAAGCCCCCATTTTTATTTTATTTTTTGTTGTTGTTGTTGTTTTTTTTTAAGGGAATATGCCGGCGCCTGCTCCTACCTGAATGTGGTCAGGAAGGTTGAGGTATTCAAAACAGACTGCTATCCCGTGGTGACGCAGTCAGCTAATACCTTGCTGCTGAGACGCCGGTCCATCATCGGAACACAGACTCGCCCCGGCTGTGCCTTAGGACTGCTTATATCTTCACAGGAGAGTTCAGACAATCCTTGCCTCACCACGAGGGCACCATTTAGGACGGAGTAGTGGGACAGGGGAGACCTCCAGGCTCTTGGGTGCCTGCCCATCACCTGGAGGTGAATGCCCTTCCCCCCGGCCCCCCAGCACGTGGCCCGCGACCCCATAAGGAGCACACAGACCACCAGGGAGGGAGGGACAAAAGAGGAAGTTTATTGTGGGGAAGGGGTTTATAAGGCTTTTAGGAGGGTCAAAGGGAAACCAATCACAAGTTCAGGGGCACAGAAAAAAACAATCAGGTAAGGGGTCAACAGCCAACAGGAAGGGGTTAACAAGGACCAATGAGAAACACCTCAGGACACCTTCCCAGGACACCTTGTATGGGAGACAAGTCTCTCACAGGGGGTGTTGGGAAAAAGAAGCAATGACCTTGCAGAAAATACAAAAAGCCATTTTGAAACATGTTTAAACCACATTAAAACCTTCTGTTTCTATAACATTTGAACTGTTTTCTTCTTTTTCCTCACTAGTCCATCTCTGACAGGACTTCTTCCATCCTGCATATGGCCAATCCACTGCCACAGTGGCTCTGGAGGTCACTGACATTGTTCAAGGTGGAGGCCACAGCACTTCAAAAGGGAGGACAGGGCCACATGATCCTCCCGTGCTGCTGGTTGGTCCCCCTGTCTCTGGGCAAACTGCCCCTCTCCGGAGCTGAGAACTGAACAACTCTGTCGCTTCTTACTGCGAGCTGTGACTGCCCTGCAAACTTTGCAGGAACACCTACTTGTTCTTAACACCCTAAAGCACAAGCACCCCCTGAGGCCATAGGTTAGTTTTACCCTTGGGCAGTGCATGTCACTGCATCTTTCAGACCAACCTGATCTTCTGCGGATACTCCTCTGCCTCAGTAGCAAAAGCCTTCCACTGGAATCGGGCTGTGATGTTACTTCTGTTGTGGATGGCCGTGGTTCTGTGGCTTGACAAGTTCCAGAGAGTACTTGTCCAGCCCGATGTTGAAGTCCTTAGCTTTTCCAAGAAGTCTGGTGTGGGTATCCTCACCTGGAATAAAGCAAAGAGGAGTCTTTGCTCAGCTCCCTTGCTGATGGAATTACAAGGAGCAGAGCAAACCACAGGTAACAGAAGAAAGTGTCCAGCTTTTAGCTGGATAAGTAATTCCATGGATCAGTACATTTATCAAATCCCAACAGCTCCGTGGGTACAGTGTGAGGATGTCCTGGACACCACCTTAAGCACCTGATTTCTGGGTGGGTTTGTAGAGATTTGTCCCCAGGTGACAGTATTTACAGTGAGATTTGTCAGGTGTGCTCAGGTGACCCACTCAGATCCCAGGCAATTCTGTATCAAATTCATTCAGGTGACTCTAAGGAGCCCCACTCAGTCACAGCCCAGGGGCTCCTGAAGGCACCCCACGGGGCTCCTGCCTCTCCCAATCCCGCTCCCTGTCCAAACCCATGGCCACATCAGTCTAGAAATATTTGATATCATTCTGATCTCAAACACCAAGCTGAAACATTTGAAATGAAAGAAAGAAGGGCAGAGAGACAGACTAAAAGTACAGAGCAGCTTTTACACGAAGACTGAATGGGGTTCTTCGACCTAGAAATCGAATGGGAGACAGGTGGGAGAGGTTTGGAGAGCATGAATGGCCTGGGAAATGGGAATAAGGGACAATTTGTCACGGTTTGTCATCCAACAGGAACCCGAGGGCCTGAAAATGTTCTTAGACAGAAATGACATGTATGTGTAAAGGACAACATAGAAAAGGGGTCTGTGGCAAGACAACAGAGAAGCAGCTTAGGGGACAGAGGTGAGCAAGAGACACATGGCGTTGGAGAGAGTTGGATGGAAAGCTCACATGTCACAGACAGCACTGTCCAGGAACACAACTTCAGCCCTGCACATCCACACTGCAGTGGAGAATCAAGGTTCCTCCTTCCTCCACTCAGCAACTCCCAGCAAAACAGGATTCCAAAAATCTCATCCCTGTTTGAGGGCTTTATCCACTTTATCAACCCCCTAAACACTAACTAGTTTGCACTTTTCGTTGCGGTGAAGCTGGGACGGGGTGGTGCTGCTGGAGGGGGAATTCAGGTGGCTGGGACAGTGGGGAGTGCTGGTAGAGGACTGGGGTGGGGGTGCAGGATGGAGGACACCATGCTGGCACCAGGGTCCCCCCAGGGATGGACCAGCAAACAGCAACACAGCACATCCAGGACAGGGGCAGACTCAGCCTTGGCCCCTTCTCTGCTCACTTCTGAGCACTGAAACACACGGAGGCTTTGAAAGGAACAGTTCTACAAGTAGTTTGCAGAGCAAGTCTAACGTTATTCTGCTTAGAAAGGGCTCTGCTGTTGGGAAGGACGCGGGGTGAGTGCACCGTGCAGTGCCCAGCACTCACCTCTGTGGCAGTGCACTGCCAGGGATGTGCAATGGTGCCCGGTCTCCAGCGGGTGATATTCCACTGTCACTTGCTTGGCTTCACCAACATCGAGGGTTCCCGTGGCTGGGCTGGCAGTGAAAGGGCTGCAAGACCAAGAGAGAGATCAGGACTCTTGGGGGAGGTTTGGGGACGATACTTGCAGTCTAGTTCACTTCAGCTGACTTGTGCAAGGCAGGAGCAAAGCAACCACAGTCAGCAGAAGACAGACAGAACACACAGCATCAGAAACAGCTACTGACTCTCTTTGGAGGAGATGCAGCCCTCAGAAAATCCTGTTGGATGAAATGAACTCATCTTCCCCATACTCTGCATGGAGGCTCAAGGGTCTGACTGCCAGCAATCCCAGCAGAGAATGGTTTGGGAAGAGCACAGAGAGGGTTAAGAGCTATTTGCATGCACAACTTGACACTGACTGTCTCAGGAATCTCTTTTCCAGTCCCTTCTAAACCTCATTCAAGAGATGCAAATGGCATCTCACCTGTCCTGTGAGATTACAGCCTAGGAATCAAGAAGGAGAATAAAGTCTTCCTTGAAGACCAGAGAATAATGAGTTTAATTTGCAGTGTGGTTGTTTGGGGTTGTTTTTCCTCTTGTAAACATCCTGGTTTAGCCTAAGAAAGGGCACCTTTTATCACATTTCAATGAAAGCTGCTGGAAGAAAAGGAGCAATGAAAACTCTGAAGGAGTGCAACTGCAAATTGGAGCAATACAGTGACCTGGACACAGTACCCAAAAGGAGGGTCCTGTTTACAGCCTGAAGGATTCAATCCCAGCTAAATGAAGTGCCATTAAGAGCAGCACATCAAGGGAGCTGAACAGGAGGTTTCTGTGTATTCCCCAGCCATGCAGTCTGGGATTCTGGAGTGTCATCCAGGCTGGTAACTGTTTGCTTGGCCCACCAGAGAAACAAGGGAAATCATTAGGCAAATGTGTTGGTGCAGCTTGGATTTAACAGGAGCAATTTGGCTTTGTCACCAGGTAAACAGCTCTTGCCTGACAGACACAAAAATCAGAGCTTTAGTGCTTCAGGACAGCTCAGGTGAAAGGAACAGTTCTGCCCAGGGGCTGCTGGGCTTTGTGCTCTTCCTACAGCCCCACTGAGAAAACAAAAGTTTAGTGCCTGCTGATGGTTAATTTGTCACCTTAAAAACATTTCCTGGGGATTCTGATAATGATTAGAGAATGCAACACAAAAAAAAAAATAAATAAGAAGAACAACTGGAACCCTGTGCAAACTGAACTTTGTTCCTGTCAGTGGTGACAGCTGATGGAATTGCTGCCCTTTCTGCTCCTTATAAGGAGCTACTGCTGCAATTAGGGGCCTGACCCGGGCCCATTACCACCAGTGAGAACATCACTACTGGCTAATGGAGAAGCCTTGGGCCAGCAATGTTTTTGTGCTGGGCCTGAGACTTTGGAGAGAGAGGAGGAAAGACAAGCCCCACCAGCCCCAGAGCTGGATTACTCTCTGTGCTCCTGCATCTGCCCTGATGGGGATGCCAGGACTGCTGCAGGGCTCTGCTGGGGCTCGGGCGTTCATTGCCTGGGGTGGGAAAGGCACGGAATTTTTTTCCTGTTCTTTTGCCAGAAATTTTGCCAGAACAGAGAAGTTACTAGTTAAGGGGCAACTCATGAGTGCTACCTTCCCTCCCGTTCCCTTCCTACTCCTGCCCCATGTCGATATACTCCTGCCCTCAGATGGCTGGATGGGGAATAAGACTCCTGGTACTGACTTCAGGGGATGCCTGAGAAAGAAGGCATCTTCCTATTTTCAATTTCTCAGAAGAGGATCCAGCCAAGTTCAGGACTAAGAACCCAAGTGCAAATCAGCCCCTGCATCTCCTACATTTTCACATATTCCCCAAATTGCTCCTGTTTCTTATACACCTGTGCATATGCCTATGGGCAGATGGTAGATCAACAGGCATGAGAGGACCTTGAAGAAAGTTCCCAAGGAAGAATGAATGATAGTTTGACAAAAATTTAACACAGAGCAAAATAAATGGAAAACAAAGCAGAAACACGGGAACTTCAGAGTATTTTAAAAGAAATCGGAATGAAATCTGCTTGAAAATTTAGACTGGCTTTCAAAGGTTCCTCATGAAACAGAAGAGATGACTGATGCCCTCAGCTGACAAGGGAAATCAGATCAGCTTTGACTAACAGGAACAGCATGGGCTGTTCACAACACAGCTCACGTTGGGCATCTGATGAGGGGCCCCCTGATGTGCCACACGCTCGAGGTCTCCTGGAGAATGGGTTTATTGGCTGACAGTGGGAGGCAGCCATTTCAGAAGGTGGTGGTGCTCAGGAGGGTGCAGACCAACCACTAACGTGTTCCAGCAGTCCCCAGGAAATCTGGGAGAGACAAAGCTCAGGGCTTGCATCCTGCTTAAAACACTAGAAGCAACAGCAGACCCCACACGTCCTGCCCCTTTCCAGCTGTGGCTGCAGTGCAGCAGCTCGGATGCTCTGGTTCCTTTGGGATACTCTTTCCCAACTCTGCCATCACCCAAAGGTGTTTTGCACTAAGACAGATGAGCTGCTTTACCTCTCAGTGCTGAGGCTGTAACAGGTTTCCAGGTTCCCGGTGTTGTGAACCAGCAGAGTCTTCTGGGTGCTGTGGTTGACTGGACACGACGAGAAGTCCAGCTGGTCAGGGAAGTCCAAGACTGGGCGGGCACCAATGGCCCGGATTGGCACAGAGACCTTTTCCCTTTCACTGCTGCAGACAAGCTGGTGGAAATGATCCTGCAGGAAAAGAGAATGGCACAGCATTGAGGGCATTGAGTGCTATCCTCATGGCAGAAGAAAAAGGGCTGTTTTCAATGACCCTTTGTGGGCATGAATTGACCTCTTCCACCCCCAAAATGACCACTAATTCATACTAATAAAGGCTGGAGAACAGAGCATGTGAAAAAGCATCATTTTTGCTCCATTCCATTGGGAAAGAATAAAGCTCTCTGGATCATCTTTTTCTTCCTCTGGTATTTTCCATATTTAAATCCCTTCCACTGAACCTAGAGATGGCTAAACCTCAACACCCCTCCCTGTCATTTCCCTGCTGTTCCATCTGCCTTTTCCCCCGTGAACGTTCAAGAACAGGCACGGAGGGAAAGCACAGCCCTCTAGGCCCAGCTGCAGGGCCTGGCAGCACCACGCTGTGCCAAGGTGTGACCAGCTCCAGGCTGCCTGCCCCCAGCCCAGAGCCGACCTCACAGCACGGGCTGGGCTATAACCAGTGTGCAACAAACGCCCTGGCTTTAGAGAGAACGTTCCTCCAAACTCACCTTGCTCCCCTCAGGGATGAAAAGGATGTTTATAGTGCAAAATGAGCCCGGTGGGATCTGATGGCACACACCATTGGGGCCGACCAACTTGAAATAAGGTGAGCTGTCCATGGTGACCTTCACCAGCTGAGTAACCTGCAGGAAAGACACAAAATGGTGATTTTGCCGCTTGTGTAAACAGGAGGAGACCTGGGTGTGCCCTGGTGACAGCCTTCCTTGACCATTTTCCCAAAGGACTTTTAGCTCAGGAGGTACAAGCACAGGCTACACAAGGGTGAACTTGGATCCCTCTGCCTGGGCAAAGCAGCTCGGCCAGAGGCAGTAGGGCAGTGCCTGCTGGGAAGGAAGGTCAGGCACCAGCAGTATGGAGATAGAACACCTGAACCAAGTCATCCTCATTTCAACAAGCCCAGAGAATCTGCCTGCTTCTGCCTGCACACAGCCACGCAGCCCTGTTCCAGAGGGAGAATGTGCTACCTGAAGGCAAACCAGCACATTGTCCTGGGGGCTCTTGCTGCCTGGTGACTGTGGCCAGGCAGCTGCCAGTGCAGGCAAGCCAGACTGCTGGGCATTCCTGCAGCCACCCTGCTGCCAGTTTCTGCCCTCAGGGGAACACAGGCACAGGGACAGCAAACAGGCACTTGCTAGCACACGGGTATCAACCCCTGAGCACCAAATCCCATCTCACAACCTCTAAACCAGGTGATTTGGACTCCCTGCTGTCTATTCCCACCAGCTTGCTCTTGGCACAAGAGTCATTTGAGAAACTGTTTCCTTGACTGAAATTCAAAAGGTCTCAGTTTTCCTCTTTACAGGGCAACACAATTGCTGACATTTTTCAACTTCTTCCTTCTCAGCTTTCGTGGGCAATTGCAAAACAATCACACTTTGTTCAAGTGAAGGTGGAAACCCTCAAGAGCACATTGCTCTGGATGTCAAGTCTCTGAAAAACGCATCAACTGAACACTAAAACCAAACCTGACACCCAAGAAACGTTTTTAAAAGCTTTCCACGTAACACACAAACTCCTCCGTTTCCTTATCCTGTAACTCATAGTTAAGTAACTACCTTTGCTTCCCGTAGTGCCCCCCCTGTGCCCGGGGCCGCACCGGGGACCCAAACCCCGCCGCTGCCCCCTCGGTGCTGCATCGGGGCCGGGCCGTGCGGCCCCCGCGGGTGCTGCAGGGCCGGGACGGCAGCGCCGCAGCCGCCGAGGGGCACCGGGGCTCCCCCGGTCCCGCCGCTCCCCCTCACCCCCCACGGGCAGGACACGGCCGGGGGTCCCCGAGAGTTCCCGCGGGTCCCCTCAGCGAGCGGCGAGGGCTGGGAGGGGGGGCCGGCAGAGGCAGCGCCCCCTTCCCCTCCCGGCTCCGAGGACATTTTGGTTTCCCTCCCAAGGACAAAGGACAAGGAGGAGCGCGGCACTTACCTGGCGAACAGCAGCCCGCTGGCCGGCACCGGGGGCCCCGAGGACGGGGCGCTGCTCCGATGCTCGCCCTTCCCGCGGCCAAGGGCGGCCCCGCGCCCGCCCGGCGAGGGAGCGGCGCGGGCAGCGGCCGCAGCCCCGGCGCCCATTGCTGACCGCCCGTCCCAGCCCCTCTCGGCAGCCCCGCTCGCCCCCAGAGTGCCGGGCCCGACTCGGCCCTCGAGCGCTGCACCCGGGGCGCCGGCCGGGTGTCCCCCGAGCGAGCGGCGGGCAGCGCGCCCGGGAGCCGTGCGGGAGCTGCCGCTGCTCCCCGGCCATCTTGTGCCGTGCGTGTGAGGGAGCCGCCGCCATCTCGGCTCCTCCCTCCCCGCCCCCCGCACAACATGGCCGCCCGCTCGCTCCTCCCGTTGGCCTCGGAAACGGGATGAATTCCCTCCATCGAACAGGATGAATCGCAGCTACTCCAGAAGGAAAAGAAATATATATATATTGCTATATAAGAGTTGACAAAATGATGCATTATTCAGCAAATTGCCACATGCAGGGAAGAGAAACTGTACCTTTTCTTCTAAAATCTTACAAACGTGTATTTTTTTTAATTTTTATAAACAGTCTGACAAAGCCCTGAATCCCCCCGTTGTAATGCACCATCTATATAAAAGACCCCTTATGTTACTAACTCAGAACAAACTTCTTCATATTTGTCAATACTCGTTAGATCTGGGGTCCAATCAATTTTTGCTGTAGTGATTCACCCCACGCTTGGATTAGAATGTCACCTGAACAGAAATAGCTCCTGAGTCAGGCTCATGTTTCCTATGAGCTTTTCTATTTTCTGCCTGCAGTCAATTCACTACAAACTGGCTCCTGACAGAGCTTTACCCAGCTGGGAGAGCTCATCAGCCCAGGGACTAGAGCAGCTCTGGACATGCTGGCCTCCTAAACTCCAGAATCAGCAGCTTTATGTTGCAGGAAAGAGATTTACATGCTGAAACAAATACTCTCTCTCTCTGACCAAGCCATTAACAGTGACAATCTTGTCTCAGCTTAAAACCATTCACAGCTCACTTTTTTTTTAATATTTAGTCACAGATTAGTGTTAGAGGGTGAGCTGGGAGAAAACGGGAGCAGTCCAAGAAAACACTGTTTAATAATAATAATGCCTCTAAAAAGAAGCTATCACCTCTCTCTACAAATGTGTCTTGGATTAAGGTCTAGAAACATTGAATTTAATGACAAAAGCTGAGATTTTGATCTCTCCTTGTTACTCCAAACACATGGGTCTTAAGTTACACACCTGTGCCTTTAATTCAGCACTGAGTAATTACATTTAGGTTGGTGGAATCACTCCAGGTTTTTCTTGGTGTGCCTAAACTGAATGTTGTCCTAAGGATTTGGAAGCATATGAAGTGAATTTAGGAATGAACATGTGTAGGGGGCCGGAGATTGAGAACAGTTGAAAGTGTATACAGTCGTGTATAAGATGAGAAGGTCATGTCTGACCACAAAGGACAAAAGGAGAAAAACAGGATGTCAGGTTGGGCAGTAAAAACAGGAACTTGTAACCGCAGAAGCATTAATGACGCCAATATAGGTAACCAATGAAGAGAACCCCTTGCTCGCATGTATTGCGCGTGGACAAGGTGACTTAGCCAATAAGCTTATGCGTGATCGCGTGTACAGAAGTGAAACAAACATAAATGTAGTCATAGAAGCTTCAATAAACGGAGTTCTGCTTTACCCACATCGTGTCGGTGTTCTTGCTCCCCTCCACCTGGCCGCTGCACTGTGGTGACCCCGACGTGATACTGCACGGACGCTGCGGACGAGAGAAGGTGGAGACATCCCGGCTGCTAGGAAAGCAGGCTGCTCGAGAAGCAGGATCCTTGTTGTGGCCACGGCTGACCGGTGAGTCAGGCAGACTGCGGTCTGGACGGGATGGGTGCCGCTGTATCAGCGATAGAACGAGCTACAGTCGACGGGTTGCTCAGTGTAGCGAAAAGGACTGGGCACACGCTCCCTCGAGCTGAGCTCGTGGACTTCTTGTATTGGTGTCGGAGACGTGGTCTCTTGACTTCTTCTGATCAATTGTTTGATATCGAACATTGGGAAAAGATTGGGTCTGAATTATGGCAAAGTGTGCAGAACGGCCAAAAGGGGAGCAAGCAGATGGCGTGGATCTTCCGAATAGTTCGGGAGATGATTCAACAAGTCCATGCTGATGCTGAAATCGCCACTGCTTTGCAAAAAGCCCTCGATTGTTCTACACAGCCGAAGGAAAAGGAAAAAGACGAGGAGGGAAAGGACAGTTGTTCGACGTTGATAGACTGGGAGGCAAAATCTGATCCTCCCCCATCGTACCCCCCACTAGCAGCGCCTATGTTCCGGGGAGAGTTTGAGGATCTCATTCCCCCTTGGACCCCTAACGAGATTTCTGCTGGGACAGCTGCTGCGCCTTCTGCACCCCCTCCCCCGGAGGCTATGGAGGTTGATCCAGCTAAAGTACCGTTACCGGAGGACGGAAAAACGTCCCCTCAGAATCCTCTTGTCGACGAGCTACGGTTGCAACGAGAGCAGATGGCTAAGTTGCTGGGGGCAATGCAAGAAATAGACTCTAAAGGGGGGAAGGGCAAAATGTGGGAGTTATATGAGAAAGCGGCTAAAGCAGTACAACAAGGGATACAGAACATAGAAGAGCAGCTTAATAGACATGAGGTGGCTGAATGGGGAGGCAGAGAAGGAATCAAACAAGCCATCCTGCAGCGTAGGTTGACAATAGCGGAAGGACAGCAGTTGATACAGCGACTTCTAGGGGCACACGAAGGGCTTACGACGGGAGAGAAAGAACAACTACAAAGGGCAGTAAACGAAGGCAGAGAGGAGATAGATGTCCATAGGAGACTGCCTTTTGATAAGCGTGGGGCAGATCCTTTTGATAGGCGTGGGGCAGACGGAGCCCGGGGGCCTCCGCGAGATGATTCTTTTGATCCGACCAGGCGCTGGAAGGGTATATTGAGTCAAGCAGATTTAAAGGGAACAGTGGTCTTTGAACCCATTGTTGCCGCTCCAGTACAGGTCCACTCTAATGGTCGTAGAGAGTGGGTTCCCTTAGATTGGGCGATGATTTCTAAATTACAGCAAAGCGTTATGGCATATGGACCCCACAATTCCGCTGTGAGGCGACAATTGAGTGCCTTTTTGAAATATCAGGAGCTTACTCCTGCCGATATTAGGATGATCATGGAAATTCTACTTGGTGCCACCGCGTATACAATTTTTTTGGTGAAATGGCAAGAGCGCATAGAGGCATATCAGCTACAAAATCTTAATTTACACGATGATGACCCCCTAAAAGTAGCCACGCTGGAGATGATGATGGGGTCCGGTCCATTTAGAGATCCGCAACGCCAAGCAGCCTTGCACCCTAGAATTTTAGGACAAGCTAAGGCTGCTGCTCTAGAAGCTTTTCATGCCCTGCCGCAGATAGGGAAACCGAACCCTCCTTATCTTCAAATACGGCAGGGAGAAAACGAATCCTTTTTAGGATTTGTTGACAGGATTCGTGAAGCGATTGACGCTGTGCCCGATATAGATGCAACCATTAAAACAACATTACTTAAAGAAGTTGCATCCCAAAACGCAAATCGTACTTGTAAACGCTTGTTGCAGTCGCTTCCGCAAGGTTCCACTTTAGTACAGATGATCGATCGCTGTTCGCGTGCACCTTGGGAAGAAGAGAAACAACGCGCTAACATACATGCAGTCGCTCTTGCCGCCGCTTTGAAACAAAGCGGACTTGGGGCCGGTGATAGGGGCCCCGGAGGATGTTTTAATTGCGGTCAGTTGGGACACCTTAAGCGTGACTGCCCAAAGAAAGGCAAACAAAAAGTGGGTAAAGATGAAGGAATAGTTGGGAGTACTATTTGTCGCCGATGTGATAAGTTAGGACACAAAGCTACAGAATGTAGGTCTCGTTTTAAGAGAGATGGAACCCCTTTGTCGGTAAACTCCCAGCGCCGCGGGTTGGGCGCGGCTGCAAAGTACCCAACAATTCGACCTCTGGTAGCAGCCATGGGCCAATCCACTCCAGCTATAGACCCGCTGACTGCCCCCCTGAATTCACCGCAGTCACAGCAGGAGGAGCGGGAGTCGATCTGGCCCTGGCAAGAACAGTAACTGTATCTGATTCTTCTGTAACATTGCTTGATTCTACTATGTCAGGACCGCTTAGAGATGGATTAAGTGCAGTACTCCTTGGTCTCTCCTCAGCAAGCAGACAAGGCATATTTGTTCTCCCTAGTGTAATTGCTGCTGATTATACCGGTCCCATCAAAATAATGGTCAAGGTGTTTGCACCCCCTGTCACTCTCCATCAAGGAAGTAAGATTGCGAAATTGATCCCTTTTAAGGCTCAAGTACCAGGGGACCGAAGGCTTGGCAGTACTGGCAGTACATCCGAGCCCACGGTTTTCTTTACCACCGTGCTTACTGAGGAACGACCGACACGTCCTGTCATTATTAGCCTACGGGAAGAATCTCTTCATCCTGCGCCTGTTAATATGCTGCTCGACACGGGGGCTGATGTTACTATTATACCCTTTGACTGTTGGCCATCACATTGGCCACTAAAACCTGTGGCCATCACAGTTAATGGGGTTGGAGGAGATTCAAGATCTATGCAAAGTCAAGAGTTTGTCTGTTTTAAGGATGAGGTAGAAGGCCGAAAAGCTTGGGTAAAACCTTATGTTATGCATACCCCTCTTTGGATTCTGGGCAGAGATGCTATGAGTCAATGGAACATAACGCTGAGTACTCAAAATTTACGGTAGTGGCCATTGAGGAGCAGAGGCCACCCATGTTAAAAATTCAATGGGTATCTGACAATCCTGTATGGGTGCCTCAATGGCCTTTATCAGAAGAGAAGTTGCGAGCAATAGAAGCTCTGGTTGCAGAGCAATTAGAGCTGGGACATATTAAGCCCTCTGTTAGTGAATGGAATACTCCTATTTTTACTATCAGAAAAAAATCTGGGAAGTGGCGCTTATTACATGATCTCAGAGCTGTTAACGCCATAATGAAGCCCATGGGGGCTTTACAACCTGGCCTCCCTTCCCCAGCTGCACTGCCACAACAGTGGCAACTGTTAATTATAGATTTGAAAGATTGCTTTTTCTCTATTCCACTGCATCCCGAAGATACTGAAAGATTTGCATTTACAGTCCCTCAAAAAAATGCTGGGAGACCCTCAAAACGATACGAATGGGTTGTCTTGCCACAAGGAATGCGAAATAGTCCTACAATTTGTCAATGGTATGTGGATTTAGCCTTAGATGCCTGGGTAAAAGAACATTCTGAATACATTACATATCACTATATGGACGATATTTTAATCGCATCTCCTAAGCCCATGCCAGAAAAAGCTGAAAAAGACTTAATTCATAGGCTACAACAATTTGGACTTACTATTGCCCCCGAAAAAGTTCAACGACGACCCCCATGGCAATATTTAGGAATGCTTGTGACCGAAACGCGAGTTCGGCCAGGAAAATTACAATTACAGCGTTCAGTTTCTACTATAAATGATGTTCAAAAGCTGGTTGGCGATATACAATGGATTAGGATATGGTGTGGTATCACAAATGAAGATTTAGCCCCTCTTTTTTCTTTACTGAGGGGTTCCCAAGAACCATGGGAACCTAAAATGTTGACTCCAGAAGCGCTGCATGCGCTCACAATAATCGAACAAAAAATAGACCGACAACAAGCTTATCGCTATAACCCCTCTTACCCTATCTGTGTTATAATCTATGGTTCCTTTTCTAGCAGGTCAGCTCTCATTGCTCAAATTCAGGAAAAGAGTCTAACCATTTTAGAATGGGTATTTCCCCCTTTTTTACCCCCTACTACCATACTGACTCCCCAGGAATATGTAGGCCTGTTACTATTGAAAGCTAAAGAAAGAGTTCGTCTAGTGTTTGGGAAAGATCCTGACTCGTTCATTGTCCCCTGGAAAACCACACAATTGGTGCATGAATGGTCACAACAAAGTTACTCTTTTGCCTTGGCTACGGCTGGCATCGCACTCAGTACTAATTATCCTCCCCATCCTTTATTTAAGACCACATCTATTATCACACGAGGCCCAGTAGTTGTTTTGAAACCTATCCCCCATGCTCTTACTGTTTTTACAGATGCGAGCGGTCGTTCGCACAAATTTGGGTATGCTTGGAAAAAGCATGGGAAGTGGAATACCAAGGTATGGGAAGATAAAGATACTCATTCTGTACAGGTTCTTGAGCTAAAAGCTGTAGTCTATGCCCTACACGATTATCCCAAACAAGCCCTCAATATTATTTCTGATTCAGTGTATGTTGTAGGATTGGTTAATCGCATAGATTATGCCAAGTTTGGGAAAATTAGTAACCCTTCAATTGCTATGTTACTTGTTTCTTTACGTGGGTTGATCCTTGAAAGAGCCGACCCCCTCTGGTGTATTCACATGCGCAGTCATACGACTCTCCCTGGTATCTTTGCGGAAGGCAACGCTGCCATAGATGCAACTGTAGCTAGTGGACTGGTCCTCCGCGGTTTTTCGGCCGCCCAGCAGGCGCATGCGTTTTATCACCAGTCTGCCCGAGGTTTGCAAATGGAATTTGGCATCCCTCGGGCCCAGGCGCGTGCTATCGTCGCTGCCTGCCCGGACTGCGCTCGTATCTTGCCCCTCCAGACAGGGGGGGTAAACCCTCGCGGATTAGGGGCTCGAGGTGTCTGGCAAACTGATATTACTGAATTTGCTCCTTTTGGACGCTTTCGGTACATTCATGTGTCCGTAGACACGTTTAGTCATGCTGTTTGGGCTACAGCCGCTACAACTACTGCCTTTCGCGCTGTGAAATACCACTGGTTACAAGCTTTTGCGGCCCTTGGACTCCCCGGCACCATCAAGACCGACAATGGTCCCAGTTATACGGGGAAATGGGCCGCCTCATTTTTGCACCTTTGGGGAGTCAAGCATATCACTGGAGTACCCTATAATAGCACAGGTCAGAGTATCGTAGAACGCAGACATCAGGACATTAAGCGTTTACTCCGCGTTTTGAAAAAAGAGGGGGAGCTGCTGCTCTCTCCCCAGGACAGACTGATGAAAGCCTGCTACGTACTAAATTGGAAAAATCCAGTACAGCTTCACGACAACCGTTACGTGATACCCACGGACATTCATTTTTCTAAAGAAAATCCAGTGCTGCACGTCCCCGTACAAACGTGGGACCCTCGGAGCCAACAATGGGGAACTGTACCCGATACATTACTAACCTGGGGTCGGGGTTATGCTTGTGTATCCACAGGACAGGAACAGCCTCGGTGGATACCGGCTCGGTGGGTGAAACCCTGGCTCTCCAAGGTGGATGCAGCAGCAGCCGAGAATAGCGATACAGGAAGCGCTCCGACAGCTTGACGAAACATCACGACAGCGAATACAACAAAAGGTTGCTTTAGTACAACAAAGACTGCTGCGTTCGGCGGTAGCGAAAGAGGCCAGTGGCTGGTATTACCACCAGAAACCGTCATTGAATAATTACTTGAGCATCCTTGAATTATTATCAGTAACTACTCGCAAAGGGTGGGACGAACAGCCTTGTTTAGTATGTCAAAGTGTGCTCTGTTTTTCCTGGGTTGCTCTAAGGTGTGGGGGTTGTAATCACAAAATTTGGTGGAATCAGAGATTACTTAATAAGAGGTGGTGTCCAAGGTGTGAGTATAGCTATTCAACCATAACGTGGGAGCAAGAGCTTTTTCGCATTCAACAGCGACGTCTACACTTTGAATCGCTAGAGCAGAAAATATTAGCATACTGTAGGTGGGCATTGGAGAAGGAGGTACATCGCCTAGAAAGTCAGGAGAAAACATACATACTTCAAACACGGTGCAGTCGGAAGGTACCCCTGAGATTTTTTACATTAGTAGGGCCCTTTAGAGGAAGCCCTGATAAAGCGTTAGCAGAAGCAGTTGAAAGGCTGCGCAGAAATGAAGGATATCATAGCACTGCTCACACTGTTCGCCTCTGGCGTCACCTCTTGGCTAACGAAAGTTGACCAGAGGCAAAACATGTGGATTACATGGGCTAATCAGACTAATCTAACATCCTTTTGCCTATCCTTAGCCACACCTTCCGATCCATTTCGCACTTGTCTATTAGGCATACCCTTTCAGTCATACACCGACCTTTTGGTTATGCGAGGATGGACAAAGCCCAAGGTTCCAATGCCCCACAATGAAAGTCAATTCATAATTCAAGTCTGCAAAGCTACAGCAAGCCTTAGCAATAACAAAAGCACTTGGGGTAATACGACATGGTGTCAGATACAGATTACAAAAAGAAGCGAAAATGGTTTAGCCTTATACCAATGGGGGCTTGCATGGTGGACACGTAAAATATTACTGAATTTAAATCATACTGGTCTAGAACCACAAGAGTTAGAATTGCTGGGCTCCAAGCCAGGAAATTATTGTGTTGTTTTCGGAGACATTTACAATAACCCAGAACACAAGCGCCCAGTCAATGACAGTGTAATAGTAACCCCCTCTAATGTTGAGATCTATAATTACAGCATGGGAAGCCCCTATTGCCTAAACGGAGTAGACTTTATTGAGACGCTTAACAAATCCCCACGGCGTTTACCCCCTGCTACGTTTCTAGTCTGTGGAGATAGGGCATGGAACGGCATTCCAGCTAGCCCATGGGGAGGCCCCTGTTGGTTAGGCAAATTGACTTTGTTCTCCCCACAACTAAGAGACCTGCAGAATGT